CCCTCACACCCTCACTGATACATGAGTTACTTGTCCTCATTGGGCTCTTTGGAGTCCTCACACCTTCACTGATACATGAGTTACTTGTCCTCGTTGGGTTCATTGGAACCTTCACACACTCACTGAAACATGAGTTACTTGTGCTCATTGGGCTCTTTGGAGCCCTCACACCTTCACTGATACATGAGTTACTTGTCCTCATTGGGCTCTTTGGAACCCTCACACCTTCACTGATACATGAGTTACTTGCCCTTGTTGGGTTCATTGGAACCCTCACACCTTCACTGATACATGAGTTACTTGTCCTCATTAGGGTCTTTGGAACCCTCACACCTTCACTGATACATGAGTTACTTGTCCTCGTTGGGTCCTTTGGAGCCCTCACACCTTCACTGATACATGAGTTACTTGCCCTTGTTGGGTTCATTGGAACCCTCACACCTTCACTGATACATGAGTTACTTGTCCTCATTAGGGTCTTTGGAACCCTCACACCTTCACTGATACATGAGTTACTTGTCCTCGTTGGGTCCTTTGGAGCCCTCACACCTTCACTGATACATGAGTTACTTGCCCTTGTTGGGTTCATTGGAACCCTCACCCCTTCACTGATACATGAGTTACTTGTCCTTGTTGGGTTCTTTGGAGCCCTCACACCTTCACTGATACATGAGTTACTTGTCCTCGTAACCCGCACATCTTCACTGATACATGAGTTACTTGTCCTCGTTGGGTTCTTTGGAACCCTCACACACTCACTGATACATGAGTTACTTGTCCTCGTTAGGGTTCTTTGGAACCCTCACACCTTCACTGATACATAAGTTCACTGTTATTAGTATAAGCAATAACAATAAAACATCAGTAAAAGTACTAGTATACCTCAACATTAAGGACTCTATTCTTTAGTCCCTTACTATTAAAAAATGTTAAAATTAAGTCAAGGACTTTATTGCTGGAAGTGGGCCATAGTTCCTGCAGCTACCATTTATAATAACTTAATTTTCAAAGTAAACTTGATTTAAAAAAAAATGACTATGATTCTTAATAAATAAAATGAGAGGACTAATTTTCTGGATACCCCTCCTAGGGAACCCTACAGGAGTTGAAGGATATAAGAATTGTTAATTGGAATTTTTTTTGAAACCCTGGAAGACCAAAAGTGGATAATAAAAAAGGATCAATGGAGCAAATAACTTCTTAAAGTTCTCATCTTCTGGATGACTGCATAATAAAAGCAGACTACCTTTCCACATACATGAAGGTTGCCTGCTCTAGGCCTCTGGTCCATCCACAGATTTGGTCCTCCAGACAAAGCACACTTGCAGCCATGATACATCTATGTAAAGACATGAATCATTTTGAAAATGCTCAAGTGGTGTTTTCAACAAAGTGATCTGTTTCCAGGTTCTTCAGGCGCGGTAAAGGTCAAGAAACACATGACACTTTACATAAGACGTGCGTAAGCAAAGGGCAAGGAAGTCAAAGGTCAACTGTGGCCCAGCTGGGAGGAGACCCACAACCATTAATCATGTAGATGATGCAGGAGGAAGCACCGTATTCCTCATCCCTGAGAAATATAGATGATCAGTTCCTCTCGGAAAATTGGGTTTTGCGTAGTAGAAATAAGTCACCTGTAAGTTTATCCAGTCCAGTCTTGAATCTACCGATCATTAAAGTATAATGGATACCCCATCTATAGGTATCCCGGGTGTAGAAGGCTTTTCCTTTGGAGCTCTTATTACACCTCTCCACTCTGGTGCTTTGCGTGAGCCTGCACTGCATTAACCACTTACCGTCCGGAGCAATTTCATACATTTGCACACACATGATAAAATCTGAATTTTTGGATAGAAAACAGCTTCAGACCCTCAAACAATGATATATTTTCTGAACGCAGAGGCCCTGTAGAATAAAAAGATGCTAGTTGCAATTTTTTATGTCGCACTGTATTTGCGCAAATGTTTATCAAACAATTATTTTTAGGATAAAATACACTAAAATTACATTTAGTGCACAGAAACAGAATATAATACCCGATTGTTTGGAAAAATATAACAGACGGGTTCACGCCGGGTAAAGAAATACCAAACATGTCAAGCCTTAAAATTGCGTGCGTCCGTGAAACCGCAAAAAAACTACAATAACAAAAATTTCCCATAGAGAACACTTTAAACGCTTTTACGGCTCACCAGTTTAGTGCTAACAGTGATTGATGGCCTGGAATTATTGCTCTCACTGCGATGCTCTCGACGATATGTAACATGTGCGGAACAATTTTCATTTTCGCATGTGGGCGCATCCGACGCGTGTTTGCTTTGCATGTGCGTGCACGTGGGGGGCTGGGGACTTCAATTTTTTTTTGCATTTTTATTTTTTTAAATCTGTTACTTTGATTTTTACAAATTGTTTTTTTTTTTTTTTTTACACTCAACTTTACTGCTATCACATAGGGGGATAACAAGCAAATATAATGTGACAGGTCCTCTTTATGGAGACATCAGAGGTCTTTCAGACCCCTAATGTCACCTGGGGACCCCAAAGAAGCTAATGAAGCAGAGAGAGATCTGGCTCTTCTTCTGGCTCTAGGAGACGGAGACTTTGCCCAGTGACACCAGAAGTGATGTAATGCCCATCACTTCCAGGTCCAGTGATCGAGAGAGAGATCAGTGGCTGGAAGCCTGCTGCTCTCCCTCCGATCCATCAAGGGAGACCCTCAACGCCGGTTCCGGGATCGCATTGAAGACAGCAGAGCCCGGTAAGCCGACGGCGCTGGAAGTAGTTAAAGAAGAACCCCAGACAAACTAAAAACGTACCCTATGGAGCTTCTTGAGTGGCTGAGCAGGCTAATGGGGCAACTTACAGTCATTTTGGTGTCACCCCTACTGAAAAGTCAGGCACTCGGTCAGGGACCGAAAGCCCGACAGTGTCGAGAGAGAGGAGAAGGACCCGTTGGCATACCTCATCCTGCCGCATGAACGTCTCCTCCTCTCTCACTAAGATGGCCACGCATGCGCAATGACGTCATCGCGCACGGTATCCGCTCTGGGTGACACCTCGGGCCGCCCCTGCTTGGCATCATCCTCAGACTGGGAGAGGAGGATAAAGCACAATGGGCCGATCAGTTGCGCTGCATTGCTCATGTGCTAACAAGCAACATGCTGACAGAAGAAGAGAGCAAAGTGGTAGAGAGTTGAGCTCATCATTGTGCTGCTTCTCCTTCACTGTCCAGTCACAGGATGGAGGAGGGACAAGACCTGTAAGTGTTACTTAATTGTATCAGAGAAGAATCAGGTCTTCTGCCCTCTGAGACAGAACTGGATGAGCAGAAATACAGATCCTTTGGCAGGTAAATCAGCTCCCTTTGTATGTAACGTGAAGTTTTGTTTCCAAAAATGTTTTCTATAATGATTTGGAAATCCACATTTTATTACCCTGGATGCTGGCTATTCCAATTCTGAACAGAGCTCTCTCATATGATAATGTGAGACATCCCATCCCAGGGTGACAACTGACCAGTAATGTTACAATCACCATTGGAGCCCTGATATCCGTAATCAGTGTTCTGTCTCCATCTGGTGGTTAAATTTGGTAATTATGTTAGAATAGTGAATTAGGCAAAGATGGTTTTTAACCATTTATTTATTTATTGGTGTTTTAGTGAATCATTGCTAGCCATAGATATATGCAAAAAAAGCTGAGGGTTTAGAAACCCTTTAAGGTAGTTCGTACGAATATCCATTTGGAAGGAAACAACACTTGTCTAGTTTTCTTATAGTTACATACTTGTTACACTTCTTCTCTAGGTGCCACTGACTTCATTTTTGGACCATGAAGTCAAGGTCATTCTAAAGCAGGGGTGCCCATTAGGTAGATCGGGATCTACCAGTAACTCTCAAAGCTGATGCTGGTAGATCAGGAAGGGGGGGAATGGTGGCCCCTTTATTCCATTTAGGTATATTTATTTAGCTGTGCACACATGATTACCTATTAGCCTGAGTCTGCTGAGCCACGCTCCCTGACACCTTGCTGGTGGATACTGGTGGCTGAAGTGCTATGTATTACATCAAAGAATATTAATTTACACAGCCTGTTGCTCTGCACTGTTAGCAAAATACAGCAAGGTGAGCCAGGAGAGAGAGAGGAGAGACAGCCAGGGGAGAGAGCAAGGAGAGACAGCCAGGGGAGAGAGCAAGGAGAGACAGCCAATAGAGCGAAGAGAGACAGCCACGAGAGAAAATGAAGAATGACAGCCAGGAGAGAGAGAGCAAGGAAAGACAGCCTGGATGATGAGCAAGGAGAGACAGCCAGGAGAGAGAGAGCAAGGAGAGACAGCCAGGAGGATGAGCAAGGAGAGACAGCCAGGAGAGCGAAGAGAGACAGAAAGGAGAGCGAGGAGAGAGAGCAAGGAGAGCGAAGAGAGACAGCCAGGAGAGCGAGGAGAGACAGCCAGGAGAGCGAGGAGAGACAGCCAGGAGAGCGAGGAGAGACAGCCAGGAGAGAGAGAGCGAGGGAGGTTTTTTTTTCCGTTGGTAGATCTTATGTAGCTGGTCATTTGAAAAGTAAAAATTGTGGGCACCCCTGTTCTAAAGCTTTAGGGATCACTGCGGGGGAATAAAAGTATTTCCATTGAAATTCACATTTGTTTTTCGGCAGTGAAATCTCTGCATCCAAGTTTTCTGCACCGGCGGCAAAAATCAATAGCAACGTTCTTATATCAACTCGGCAAAAACAAACACTTGATTTACGGAAAATGCTAATCCAACAGGGAACCCTGACCCTTAAATCACCCCACTGCTCTATGTGCCAACAGTAAATACAGTGGAAAGGGTTGTTGCAATGCTTATAAAGGAGAGACAGGTGTTTGTTTGCAGACTTTGGTAAGCAGACTCCTTCGTTATTGTTTAGAAGGATTGTTAAGGCGGGACTCCAACCCTCGATGGCTCATACTATATAATCTTACCTGAGGACAGAGGCGGCTCATTGCCTCTGGGGACACCATGGGGTACAAAGCTCTCTGTCTCATACTGCTGGGTTGCCTGGCCGGGTCATCGTATGGCCAAACACTGTGAGTAACGTGACCCCCTCCCCCCCCCCCCCCATCACTTCACTCTTTTATAGATTTTATATGTTAGTGTTCCACTGTCTGCAGGTCATTGCACCCCAAAAATATGTATGACTTTTATTTTTTGCTTGAAAATGAGAACAAACCTGCTCTGTTCTACACAGTCGATCCAGATCTATTTGCGGGAATAGAATTGGAATGTCGGATGCAATAGAAGTCCTTTTACTTTATTTAAATACAATTTTAAAATTAAAGTAAAGCTGGCCATACACTATGCGGGTTTCGGGGGAACCGAAATTCACCCAGTGTGAGCCACTGTTGGGGCATCTTTCTACCCGGCATCCCACAATTAAAGATTGAAGGAGCTGGTCAGACCTGCCACCGCAATGATCATGCAGCCCTGTATGTTCCGCCAGCTCACAGCGCAGTGTGAAGAAACAGTCGCCGGCTCAGAAGCAAGTAAGGGAAGCGGGGACAAAGGATATCCCTGCCCCCTCACCATTCTACAGGTCTGCTACGCCAGGATCGGAGGTAAGAGATGCGATGTAGAGGAGGGCCTAGAGAGATGTGACTTATAACCCGTCCCCATTTATTTATGTGTAATTGCTTAAATATTAGGGATGCACCGATATATCGGCCGCCAAAACATATAGGCCGAAAATGGCACTTTTGGCTAAATCCCGAAAGTGCAATTTTTCTGCCGATACAGCGGCGCATTCGTGCTTTCTTTCCTCCCCTCTGTGTCCCAGTGGGGAGGAGAGAAAGTGTGACAGCTGGCCGAGCATTGCGGGAGAGAGCGCTG